TGATGAGATAAATCCAGTTCGGGTTCGGAGGGGGCTCGGTGGTTCCCTCGGTCTGCTTGCGTTCCCTCGCGATTTTGCCAGGGAGCCCTCTCAGCGTTCCCTGGGAGGGGAGGGGTCGTTTTCAGAACAAGAGGGACCGACGAAGGAGCGCCTCCCAAAAGGGGCTCGGCTGTTCCTTAGATATGTATGACTTGAATTGGAAAAAGGGGATTCGCTCATATGTAGCGTATTTCCGGCAGTGCCACGACTGTATGCCGTCTATTGTGTCTTGGTCCTCTGGAACCAAGGGCCAACTCGCGCCCCAGCAAGGCGACGAGCAGCTCGCTACATAGCAGCAGCCGCGGCCGTGGGGCCAGCTGCAAGCGCAGTCCGCCCACGAGCGTTAGTGGAGGCCTTCCAAATTGGGTCCGACTAGATGGGGTCGGAGGATCGCGCCGCATCTCCGATACATCGACGGTAAGTCGGCGATGCATCGGCGCCGTTGGCGTGGAGAGCCTCGCGCTCCACCAAAAGCCGCATCGCCGATTCAGCGGCGATGCGGCGCGATGCCCCGGCCTCATCTACTCGGACCCCATCTGGAGGTCTTGGATTTTGTCGATGATCCTCAGACCGTGAGTTGGCCCCTCCAATGCGGCGCAAGCGGCTTAGCTAGTGAGGGCCAGCGCGGACCGCGTGCTATCGGCGGAGCTGAGCGGGGCAACCACGCATTGAGCCAACACGGCGGAGCGCCGCCGCCGATGGCCTGGGAGCGAAGGTGCGCGCCGGCGGCTGAAACCTCGTTTGGTCCTGCGCCTGCGGCAGCCGCAGCGCCTACCGCCCTGCGGACCCCAGAAAGCAAACACCGCGCTCTGGCAATGACACAACTCAGAACATACCTTTACCGCTACTCCTCGGACCTCTCCTGGGGTGCGCCTTGACCGAAATTTCGAAGAGAGTCCAGCGTTGACGACGAGGGCCTCCCAGCAGGCCCAAAAAGGCGAGAACGAGGGAAGGGTAGCATTGTGGGTACTTCTTGCCTCTCTGACAGGTGCCGCAGAGTGCGGCGGGGCCCTGAGGATCGTCGAGCTTGGGCGTATGGCCGCGCAGCTCGGGCGGGGCTGGTCGGTAAGGGGGGGAGGAGGGAGGAGGGAGGAGGGAGGGAGGGAGGGAGGGAGGGAGGGAGGAGGAGGAGGAGGAGGAGGAGGAGGAGGAGGAGGAGGAAGGAGGAGGAGGAGGAGGAGGAGGAGGAGGAGGAGGAGGACGAGGAGGAAGAAGAGGAGGAGGAGAAGAAGAGGAGGAGGAGGAGGAGAAGGAGGAGGAGGAGGAGAAGGAGGGGATGGGAAGGAGGGGCAGGGGGAAGACAAGGAGACCAGCGTAGGAGAGGTTCGTCCCGCCAGCCTATCGCCGCGGCTGGCGGCCATTGCCGCGCCCAAGCCGCAACGTGGGCGCGTCCGCCGAGGGCGCAGGCTGCGTGAGGGGGAGAGAGTCGGGAGAGACAGCAGCAGCAGCACCAGGGAGGCTCACCCGAGGACGAGGAGAGCGAGGAGGGTGAGGACTGCGGCCAAGAGACTCCGTCATGGTGGGGACCATGGGGGCACTGCAAGCCCCAGAGGAGTCGAACACAAAGTGAGAGCGATCAGTGATCGAGGAGGTGGCGGTGGATGACGCGCAAGAGAGATGACAAGGCGAAGGACACGAAACGCACAGGGGAGCAGGGCGGTCACGGTCAGAAGAGAGCTGCGATGCCGACGAGCTCGACAGGGTGGAAATCGAGATCGAAGGGCTCCGTCTCTGGGTCTGGGAAGGAAATTCCTGCTCATGAGACTCAACGTCCTCAGGGTCGGTAGCAATCTCGGTAGGGGGCGTCGACGGCGAGGAAACAGCAGGAGTGAGGCCACCAGCAGACATCGGCGGATGTGGCGACGTAGATCGGCTTGATGAGACAGAGACAGGTGGGGTCAGCCTCGGCGAGCGACTCGAAGATGAGCTCGTAGAGGAAGCTGAAGACGAGGGTGAGGGACACGTACGACGCGGGCGAAGTCGCACTCGATCACGGGCCGAGATCCCAGCTGGCCGCGCCAATGCAGCCGAGCGCACCCCAGCCAAAGCACAGGAGAAGGCGGCCTCAGCCGAAAGCGGCCAGCCCTCCACGCACTTGGCCGCGTTGTAGGCCGCGTACGCGACCGCGAGGAAGTGACAGGCGGGTAGATTGGGCTCCAGCAGCCCCCATCGATGAAGCACGGGAAGAGGTAGAGGGCGCGCCAAGGCACGACGAAGAGCGTTGTGGAAGGGGCGGCATCGGGCGTAGTGTCGAAGGGCGTCGGGGCAGCCAGGACACCCGAAGGCACAGTGGCGCTTGCCAAGGGGGTGCAGGATGCGGTACGACGTCATCCAACCATCAGCCCAGGTACGAAGCGCAGCCCAGGCCCAGGAACAGGAGCAGGAGGCCAGCGTGCTCGCGATTGAGTCCCACGGAAAGGAGGCGACCAGAGAGGCGTGCCGTGGGAGCAGCTTGGCGAGGCGCGCCTGGAGCAGGGACACCAGCGGCGAGATGGCAGGGCCAAGAGCACGTAGAGCAGCATGAGCAGCACGTTGAGGGCGAGGGCGATGAGCCGCTGCGTCGGCCAACGCGGCACGCGCCGCGGCCGCGGCCACTGACGGCCAGTCAGGAGACCAGCACGGTGACGGCGAGCCAGTGCGGGTACCAGCAGCCGCCCGCTGGAGGATCTCCACGAACGCCTCCGAGCGCCAGAAGTGCGGGTAGCATCTGCCAGAGCCAACCATCTCCAGAGTGCACCAGTCAGGAGGAGTAGTCACATGATGTCGAAGCCGATTGTGGATGTCGTTGAACTGCGGGAACGTATGAAGGGCTGCGCGGGCAAGCGCCGCACATCCCATAAAGGCCCAGCGGGTGATGCGAGGACCTCCCCAGGCGTGAAGTAGAGACCAGCACGAAAGCGGGAACGTGCCCAGGGCTACCCGGAAGACCTGCGCCAAGGTCATGAGTTCCAGGCGAAGGACGGCAAGCGGCATGTGGCAGAACTGGGCGACATACGATAATGTCGGAACCGCACGTGTGCAGTAGAGTATGGCCGATAGACTGGGCGGGGTTGTCCCACGGCCGATAGCATGAGCCCGATGCTGTACCTTGGCCAATGGAGCACGCCATTGTCGTTCAACGGTCACTGAGGGACCAAGCCAGAGCCCAAGATATTGAAGTTCCTCCACGACGCCAAAGGAGGCCCACTCAGGGACCCATACTCGAAGTTGTTCGGCCACAGCAGCAGCCAGCTCCTCAGAGAAGACGCCCGAGAGGGGGACCAGGAGGCACTTGGAGAGCTTCAGGGAGAGGTTAGCGAACGTTTCAGCCAAGACCATCACCCGATGCACAGGAACGAGGTCCGCCACAGACCGAGTCGCACCGCCGATGTCGTCAGCGCAGGCCCGAACTATCCCGCGACCAGAGGGCTCCAGGGAGAGCACTAGGTCCTTGAGGAAGGCAGAGGTAGCGAGGGCGAAGAGAGAGCCCGAGAGCGCACAGCCCTGAATAATCCCACTGCGAATCCAGAATATCGGCACAAAGTCCCCATTCACCGAGGCCACGCCCTGGATGGCCGAGTAGAGAAACGAGACGAAAGCCAAGAAGGACTCGGGAAGCCCCAGTACCTGAAGAACAAACGCCATAAACTCCTGATTGAGTGAGGGGAACGCCTGGCCGAAATCGAGCGAGAAGAGAAGCGGGATGTCGGGCGATCCAGGAGGGCCCACCGAAAGCTCGCGAGCGTGCGCATCCAGCTCCAGAATGTTGACTCCGAAGTTGCGACCACCGACGAACCCTCGTTGGCAGGGCGGGACGATATGATGGATGAGAGGTTGGAGAGCACGATTCATGACGGATGACAGCACCTTGACGTCTGTGTTTCGTAAACCAAGGACGCGAACCTTGTCGGGCGAACGAGTGCACTCCCCATCGCGCAACTCAGCGTCTGTGACGAGCTTCGGGAGAAAGGCCTGGATAGTGATAGAGGAGCAATCAAAGAGAGCTTGACCATCACCAATCCAATCGAGGGCATCCATCAACACATGAAGACCAAACGGCAGCGCTTCCCACGAGGCGTAAGGTAGGCCGTCTATGCCAGGGGCGGAGTCCTGGGCCGCGTGGAGGGCCCGCCGAAGCTGTGCCAAATTCGGGGGCGGGAGATCGATGGTGTTCACGGGGCCGAGCCAGGAGGGGATATAAGCCCGAGCCGCATCGGTGTCCCAAGACTTCCGCGAGAAGACGGGTTTCCAGTAGGACGCCAAGGCCTCCACGCGCTCGACGGGGTCAGAAACCAGACAATCATCCGATACTCGTATCGACGACAACGCCAAAGAGCGGGAGAATGGTGACCAGAGCCTCGCCTTCCTCTCCAGCGCACGCAACTGAAGACGGGTGGCACGAACAGAGGGTTGGCGAGAGAGTTGAGATTCAAGAGCACGCCGACGCAACTCAGCAGCTTGCCGTTGGATGGATGAGGCCCATTCCGAAAAAGACGGGGGGTGGATGAGTGCAACCTCCGAGAAGCGGACGGTGATGTGATCTCGGACGCGAGGATGAGATTCCAGCATCCGAAGGGCCAACTTGACATCCTGCCTCCAGACCGCGCGCGAGATCATTCGCGCCACTTGCAACAAAGTGTCGAGACTGTCGGGATTGTCAATAAAGAGCGAGTCGCGCACCTCTGACGCGGCAAGACGCATGAGATGTTTGTAATGCTCTAGCTTGAAAGGTGGCGACATGCTGTCCCATGAGGTAGAGGCCACCAACCCGCGTAGACGTCGAACGAAGCGAGGATCGCGACAGAGGCGGCGTGGGATAGGGCGAGCAGTAGGCTGACGAGCAGAGCGGGAAGCAAGAGAGACGATGACCGCAGTGTGATCAGAGATTTTCGCATCCGAGAGCGCCGCCGCCGACCCCATCGTGGCGGAGGTGAGATTCATCTGGCACACCTGCCATCCCTGCAAGGAGAGAAAGACGCGGTCTAAGAGTCTAGGATGCTGGCCTTGCCCGCTGCCCGCTCGAAGTGGGTCGGCTCGCTGCCCTGGACCTCCGGCATGTCGTCGAAGATGGGCCTCCAGGCAGGTGCGGCTGCGTGGTGCCGACGGCCACCACGACGAGAAGCCGCAACTGGTGCCAGCAGAGACATGGCGGACTCCTCAGAGATGTTGAAGTCCCCATTCAGAATCACCAGGACACGCTGTGGCCCGGCACGAGCCTCCGCGAGAGCAGCACGAACAGCGTCACGAACTCTTGTGATGGCAGTGGTCCCCAGCTCGTGGTTGTGGACATTGAAGAGGTAGACGCAGGCGCGGGTCGCGCGCAGGGCAACCATCAGCACGCGTCCAGGGATCAAAGGATGGGACTCCACACGCACGGGATCCTCAGGTAGATGCTCGAGAGGAGGGATCAGGACTGCGACGCCACCACGCGCGCGGTCAGCAGGTTCGGACCCGCAGAAGCTCGAAAGAACGGTGGACCGCGGGCACACCCGATGCACGAAGTGTTCCAGCTGGAGGGCGTCTTGGTGCACCTCCTGCAAAGAGACGATGGACTTGTCGAGGCCGAGCTTGGAGAGGTAGTTAAGCTTGATGGCTGCTTCGGCCCCAGCAGCCTGAAGAAGGGCCCTGCAGTTCCAAGTAACCACTCGCAAGGCAGTGGCCGAACCCGAGGAACAGGACCGCGAAGACGAAAAGAGGGACAGCGCGTCAAAGACACCACACGGGCTCGTCCGCCGAGGCCGCGAGGAAAGAAGTGAGCTGCATGGCGCGGGCCTTGGTGATGTCGTGGCGCTCCAGCTTGGCGACGTCCCAGCGCAGAGTAGGAGGAGCATCCCCAGCCTCCACCTCGACCTTGAGAATCTTGTCCCATCCGATGGAGAGGAACCCGCGGTCCCGATCTGTGAAGAAGCGCAGCGACGAGAACTCGGTGGTGAAGGCGGCGCGGCACTTCCTGAGGACGTACTCCATCTTGACCTGCTTCGGCGACTTGTCGGGGCCCATGTGGACGCGCGTGCGCTCGGACAAGCCGGGGAGGTCGGCGAAGAAGGCTTTCCACCCGTTCTCATCCTTGAGGGCTGAGAGGGCGCGCAGGACCTTTCTTGATGCTGGTTGCACCATCCCCTTGAATTGAACCGCGAAGCGTTTGCACGGGAGGGTGCCCTTGGAGACGATCTCGTACTCGCTGGAGTCGAAACCCGTCTCCGAGAGGAAGTTCTGAAGGCAGGCGGACATCGCCTCGAGAGAAGTGGCACGCTGGGCCACCGCGATGAGGAGGGTGGAGTCGGCGTCTCTGTCGAAGCCTGTGGGGATCTGTGGAGGAGCCTGAGGGCGTTGTTCAGCGACAGCAAGATGGCGGCGCAGCTCAACCAATTCAGCACGAAGAGCTGAGAGCTGGTCGTCGTGATCACCCAGCCGCCGTTCACATGCGTCGATCTGCTTCTTGTGGTCGTCGATCTGCGACTGGAGCCTGCGAGACAGGGCATCAACCTGGGGACGAACCACGTTCTGAACCTGTTGGTCGATCGCCGCGGACTGACCAGAGACTTGCTCCCGAAGTTTGTCGATGGACCCCAGCAGCACCGAATGGTTCTCAGCAGCGGTGGCCCTGATGGACTCGGAGACGGTTGAAGTGAGAGCAGCCCGCATGGAATCGAACTCGTCGCGGCACAGCTGGCGAAGGTAGTCGTCGGACGACCAGGCGTCGTTCCCGTCAGCCGCCTCTGCAGCAGAATGATCATGAGCAGCACGTTTGCGAGGAGGTGGCACAGCGCCTTTGCCGCCTTTCCAACGGCCAGCACCCAGCTCCTGCGATGGGAAGGTCGCCGCGAGATCGAACTGCTCGACCAGCGACGCGGGGACCTCATCACCGTGGGCGTCATCGGCCATGCCGAGAATGCGAGGAGCGACGGGTGACTGCGGTGTGGGGGCCCAACTCCCACGGAAGAGGCACAAGCAAAAGACTGCCAGGCACATGGGCCTTGCTCGCCGCGGGCCAGCGGTATCCGTGGATGCCAATGCGGGCTCGGCCCGCAGCAGCATGGGACTTGAGCCAAAATGGCTACGGAGGGGGAAGACAAGGAGGAGGAGGAGGAGGAGGTGGAGGAGGTGGAGAAGGAGGACGAGGAGGAGGATGGGGAGGGGGAGGAGGACAAGCTAGGTGCGCTCGCGCCATATATAACATCCGACCCCTCCCTCCCTCCCATTCCTGATCATGGCGTAGATCTCCTCTCTATTCGCACAGCCGGACGTCGAGCAGGGCAATGATCGCGAGAGGGTACGAGATGCATGGTAGAGCACGGCATGGCATGGCGCAGAAGAACACGGCAGAGCGTAGCATGCCATAGCATGGCGTGGCACTGCGCAGTGCAGCATTACATCACAGACCAACGCAGAACACAGTGGCGCAGAACACAACACCGCACAGCATGTCATGGCATGGCGCCAAATTCTTCGGAGGGTACACGGATTGTCTGCGAGAGGTCTGCGCAGGGACCGGAGTCGTGGCTCCGTGTCTTGCTCCTTGGGCTCCCCCAAAAGCTCCACACCAGGCGGGGCTGATGCATCGCTTTCACAAAACAGAAATTGGGCTTCCGCTTGATACTTCCTGAAAACGACGACGCCCCAAGGTGGGGGGGGCTGCTGCGGCCCAAAAGTCAACGAATTGGCACCGAATGCATAATCACTTCGGATCGTTTTTTAGGGGGGGGTATTCTCTAGATTGTGGGGCCTATTTTGAAGGAAGTCCAGCACTGCAGCGGGAGCACGGTTCGGAACGAGCGGAAGCGCGAAAATGAGGCCAACGCTGCAGCGGGAGCACGATTCGGAACGAACGGAAGCCCGAAAATGAGGCCACGGAAGCACGAAAATGAGGCCAGCGCTTCAGAGGCAGCAGCATTTTTTAAGCAAGCCCAAGCGAAAACAGTTTCCCGGGAATCCTGTAAAGAATCAGTACGCGGAGGGGGGCCGGATATTTCCCAGACGTCGTCAGGGGAGAGAGGAGAGTAGCATCCAGATTGTGCAATTGCGGGGGGGGAAGAGGAGGAGGAGGAGGAGGAGGAGGAGGAGGAGGAGGAGGAGGAGGAGGAGCTCCTGCCTGGCTCCGCCCTCCGGCGGCGGCGCGGGCCCCCCCCCTGCGGGCCCTTTAAGGCCGGGCGCGGCGAACAAAAGGGGCCACTGCGCGCAGGAGCACCGGCAGACCCGGTGCTCCCGCTGCGTGTGCCGACCGGGACAGGACAGGACATGGAGGCCCCCCAGATTCAAAGGGGCCCTCGGACACAGAAACAAGTACACACAGATAAAACGAGTCACCAGATGTGCCTATATTTTCTGGGTTTTCGTCTCCCCCCACTTCCCATGTTTTCCCGTATGTTCCTGGGGATGGACGATTCATTGTGTCTGTGTGTTTTTCCCCTCCTGATAGATGGGGTCGGAGTCCATGGGGTCGGAGGATCGCGCCGCATCGCCGATACGTCGGCGATCCACTGGCGACATCGGCGTGAAGCAAATCAGGCTTCACATCGAGCCGATGCGGCGCGATCGAAGGAGCACACCACCGGAACCGCAGACCCGGTGCTCCCGCTGCATGTGTCGACCAGGACTGGACAGGAAAGGACAGCGACCCGTAGGGAGGCGGCGCGGGTCCTCCTCCCCCGCAGTGCGCCGGGCCGGAAATTAGGTCAGTGCGGTGTGAACTAGATTCGGGGTGACACTCGATGAGGGCGTCTGGCAAGAAGCTGAATGGAACTATTCTCTTGCTATGCCCGTGGCACAGGCTGCATGGGCGCCGCCTCCCGCGGCAGGGCCAGAGCCTAGGGGATCGACTACATGATCGATTTGCACCAAACTTGGGCTTTCCGCCGAATCTACGGAAAGTACGTCGAGTGCTCTGTAGATGCACCGAGCATTCTTTATATTTTTCTGGATTCGGCGGAAAGATCAATGTTGGGGTACTCCAGATTTCGTAATAAGGGGAGGGGGGTCTCATTTCAGGGGGGGGTCTCTTCCAGGCTATCTTGGAGGGCCTGGGGGGGTCTGGGGACGATGTTTTGGAGGGTTCTCCCACGGGGGGGGTCTGAAATGGCTTGTCTTGGAGGGTCCAGACCCCCTCCCTTTTATTACGACATCTGGAGTACCATGTGCCATGTGGGACCTTCTCTATTGGCGGCGAGTGAGGGGGGAATTGAGAAGGAGAAGGCCTTCTCAGAAGGCGGCGGGACTGATCGGAAGGCCTCGCGCCTTCTGGGAGTTGTTGCTTGTCTTCGGGGAAGGTTCAGGACACTTCTCAGAAGGCTGGGGGGCTTCCGAGCCTTCTGAGAAGCATTCTCCTTCTCACTGCCCCCCCTCGCTCGCCGCCGATCTCCGGAACATGGACGTACCGTATACGGGTCAAAACCCTTCTCCGACCTTGTACTGCGCCGAACGCACCGGCCGCGGTGTCTCTAGACGCATCCAGACCGAATGCGTATGTGAACGTGACGACACCAAATGTGCCAAAACGACGCCTTTGGCTACACAGTGAGAGCGGTGTCTGGCACAGGCCCGAGATGAGGGTGCTCTCGATGGACCAGAAGACCAACGACACCACCCCACCCACGGTCCCAGGGGGCTTGTTGTGTAAGAAGAACTCAGGCGTGGGCTTTTGCGTGATGTACGCTACGGCGCTCGATGCGCCGTAGCGCAACATGGAGGGCCGTAGGTCTGGGACGCTCGAAATGGGTACGGAAAAAATGGGTACAATGCCCAACAACAAATGTTGTCCCAAACCAACAGCCGCCGCTGTTGGGCACGCGGCCTTCTGTCTCAAATGGACACAGGCCGCGGCTGCGCGGACAGCGAGTCCTGTGCAAAATGAGCAGAAACTGCCGTTGGGCATTGCACCCATTCTTTCTGTACCCATTTCGTGCGTGCAGACAGGTGGGGTGGTGTCGCTTGTCTTCTGGCCGGCCAGAAGCAGGCCGACCTGGCCCTCCCGCGCGCCACCGACGCGCGGCGTCGGCCGCGGCCGCTCCGACGCCCCAGAGGCGAGGGCAGCGCCCGCGGCACCTCGCAGCGGCGCGCGTGGCGGCGGCAACACGTGCTGCCCGAGCGCCGCACGCCTGGCTTTTCCGGCCGGACCCCTCGGGGCGGGCGCCCCGGGCACCGCGCGGAGGCCCCAGGTGTAGGTCGGGCATGTCCGCGTATACGGGCGCAGTTGAACCAGACAGGGTAGTTCGGTTCTCGAGTGAGCGCGAAGGTAACTGGAACCAGACAAGGTAGATTGGCGCGAAGGTAATTGGAACCAGACAAGTTGTTCTGTTCTCGAGTGCTCCTCCTGTGGAGGGACATGCCCGACTTAACCCCAGGTGAGCAGACCCTGCGGCCCTCGAGGGCGGGGCCTTTTTCCGGAACGCCGCACGTCGCCGCATGCGGCGAGGGCACTGGAGGAGAGGCCGTGGGAGAAGGTCTCTCCAGGGGCAGGAGGCCCGCGGAACTCTGGTCCTGGATCGGCCCTGGGTATCACCGCCGCCCTGATCAGAGTGTTGTGTGTGTGCGTGGGTCGAGGCATCGGAGCGGCAAGCCATCACCTGCTCTAGAGGTCACTCCGTCTCCGCCACCGCCGAACAAACGGCTGCGGTATCCCCAGTCAGCTGGTCGCGACGAAGTCGATGCCGACACCCCCCCTTTGAGAGCCAGGCCCCCGGAGGGGCGTTGCGCCTCGGGGGAAACGGCGCCGCACGCGCCGCACACGCTCAGCGCACCTCCGCGCCAGCCAACCGCAAAGGACTTCCGACCTCCAGGGTCCGAAGCCTCCAAGGAGGAGGAGGAGGACGAGGAGGACGAGGAGGAGAAGGAGGAGGAGGACGACGAGGAGGAGGAGGAGGAGGAGGAGGAGGAGGTAGGCTCGCGCCCGAACCAGCGCCCCCACCGCGCCCGTGGGCGGGGCGCGCGGGGGGTGCTCCCTGCGGGGCCTCACTGCAAGGCGCCGCCGTCGCGCGCCTCCCGCCGCGGGCCCGCAGCCTCGCCCCCAGCTCGCTCGGCGCGCAGAGGCGGCGCGCGAGCACGCCCCCGGGTGCGGTCCGCGCGGCGGGAGCGCAGGGAGGAGGGCTCCGGCTGGCCGCCGGACGTCCATTCCCCGTGCGTCTATTTCGGTTTCGTGCGCGTTTGTTGTGTGCTCGATGGTCCAGGATGCTCCTCGATGGTTCTCGCCGAGAGAAAAAAATGCACACGTCCGAGCGATGCCAAGCTGGATTGGGGCGCGAGTGGGCGATACGTGCCCCTTGGGGCTAGCTGTCCGACACTTTGCTCACGCCTTTTTGATATGACGACCATGGGCAACATTGACATCCCCAACTGCAATGGCATTAATCAAACTGCGACGACGTCATGATGTAACATCACAGACGGCACGACCGTGAAGCTTGGAACTTTCAGCTGAGGCCCGAAGAGGTTGTTGTTGTTATCGTTCAAGAACGGCGTGGGTGGCCTCCAAACACAATTGGCAATCATTGTTTGGCCAAGCGTGCCGGTGGTAAATGCGTGTGCGCGTGTCAGAATGCTGCTCGAGTACCTGGAGCAGGCGGCAATCCTGGTATCAACGCTGGACGGACCAGCACAGCAGCCGATCACAATACGGCCGCGTGGGCCAACATCATGATCAGCCTCTTTGACAAACATACTGCTCCTGGACTGGATTCAGAGGGCAATCGTAGTACCATGTCCGAGCTGTTCGCTCGAGAATTCAATTTACGTGACCTTGAGGTCTGCGAGAGAACACGCACACAGACACACACACACACCATATACACATCCACACACACACACACGGACACACTCTCGCACACACGCGCACCCATGTCCCTCCGACGCGTCAGTCTCCAACTAGCGGATTGCGACTGGGGCACACGTAA